AACATTATGGTGAGCTTGGCAGGCTGGATTGCTGCCAAGCCTTATCTGTGCTGGATTGCTGCCCAAGCTTGTCTGTGCCGGTTTGCTGCCTGTCTGTCTGTTAATTAAACGCTGTAACTTATCTTTGGCTCGGAGTGTGTGTTGGTGTGGGATGAGAGGGGTCAGAACAGTAACTGTGCAATTGTGCAAGAGGCAAAGATTTCTTGATGGCTGTGCAGTAGGAGGAGAGCACGGTAAAGCAGCTTTGTTGAACGTGGCTAAAGATTGATATTTAAGAGCTGCATGACAAACTGCAAATTAACAAGTCACTCAGCCCTGTATGAATTCACTGGAGAGTTCTCAAGAATTCTAATTAGAAAGTTCTATTTCTTTTTAAGCAAAATATGAACGTGAATAACTCAGTGAATACGTTGATACGTTCACAATACCTATGCAAGAATAATGAAGAACAGATGCAGAAAAGGACAGTCATAAATACTGGGAAGTTGGCACCTTTTCCTACAAGTGGAGTCTAAATATGTGGGCCTTTTGAAGTAGGAAGAGGGACTGGTAATTAAATACTAGTTGTGATTTATATGACTACACCCACAGCAAATCTGGTATTTCCAGCATATCTATGTGATCATGGATATTTCACTAGGTGCTTCTTCCATATTTTTTTTAAAGGCCAAAAGTTGGGCTGTTGCAAAGAAAGCACCATCTTTCATAATCACTTTTATTTCTAAGCACGTGTATAAATTGAATGTTCTTCCCACTACAGTACATATGTTGATTATACATCTCTTGATTTTGTTTTACATCTCTTTTTACTTTTCATTGGGAAAATACGTACGAAGGCCTTGACTTTGTCAAACAGATATCTACTACTGACATCTGACAAGTTCTCACTGAGCAGCTTATTGTTCTTGAGATAGGATAGGACCTTTTGAGATAGGATAGGACCTTTTCTATTATCGACAGGAAAATATGCCTCTCCATAAAAGTGTGTGGGTTAAGCTATCTATGTGAACATGGATTAATTTGTGCTATCTAGGTGAACATGGATTAATTTGTGCCATGGTTTACCATGAAGTTGCATTTGCAACACAATTTCATAAACACGAATCAATCTGCTTTCCTATCTCTTGTCAAATCAATATGATCCTGGCATCATCTCCAGCTTTGCATTTGTCTCCACTGCAGAAGACACATTTAGATTAATTAAATGTGGGGTGGACCTGCCCAGAAACACAGAAATATTGGACAAAAATTTGGAAATGGGTGCAAGAAATTACAGGAGA